TGAACTTGAGGCACTTTTGCCCTGCCAGCAAACTTGGAATACTGAACAATATTACTTTCTAGAAATGTACCTAGAGAACTTCCGTACAGGAGTGATGTTTTTAAACTAGATAAATAATGTTCACCTTGTGTGGCATGGATCAGAAAGGAAGAATGTCCAAGGACCAAAGAACAGATTTTACTGTGCTGCAGATTACTTTCTTAACATGTTAGATTATTTGGTACATTTTTATAAAATAAACATTCCCTGGTGAAACAAGCAGTGAAGACTGATTCACAGTCTTCTGTGCAGAACGTTGGGAGGATGCATTCAGAAGAATTTGGGCTTTAGTCCAGGTTGGCATTATTTTCCAATTATCACAAAATTTCTTTTAAAGATTTCTCACTTAGAAAACAATTACGTCAGTCTGCATGTCAACTGAGAATTTTGCTTTCTCAATGCACTGGGTAGGTCTAAGGAGAGACCTTTTGCCTTCAGAACAGAGGGAAATGGACACACATGCATTCTGCGCAACCAAACGGTGAACTGGACTGGTCAAATAACTATCAATCAGTAACTCCAGCTCTGAGTGTCTCACTCACGCTCTTCCTAGGAGCGTTAACACCAGGACAGAAGGGCCAGAAGAGCCTTTCCCCCTGAACTCACCAACTGGGGACTCATGTGTGCCATGGAGGGGACCACACTGCCCTGCAGCAGCTGTAGAGCAGAGCAGGGACTGCTGTTGGTGAAAGCACTCCCTTCTCATTACAGGAAGCCTAACAGACACATGGAGAGCTCAGGGTCACCATCCCCCACCTCACCAAGACTAGCTCTTCACATCCTTTAAAATAACAACAGAGAAGTTCAAGAAGTGTAACGTACCTCTTCTGGGATAAAACAGCCATCGCTCATAGGACAGTCTGCAGTGAAACTCCTCAGTGCTACGCAGCGTCCGAACCTCCCACAACACATCCCTCAGCAGCGGCTGATGAGCACACAAAGTTCTCATGAGTGAGAAAGTGCCAAGAGCTACATGCAGATTCTGTCCTCTCATTTAACCACGTTATGATCGAGCTGGAGATTTTACTTATTTGTTCATTTAAGAGTTCATACTCAGCTGGGGCAGCCTTTGTGCTGGCATGACCATTTCTGAACATCAGCTGCACGTGGTCTGCTGTGTGCTTCCTTCCACGCAGGCTGGGTTACACCAATCTCATCTGTCAGCATCTGTGACAACTTTATCTGCTATGAAGAACAGTACACTTCCACTGGGGATAAGAAAATCCATGTAAAAACAAACAAACAAACAAAAAAACCCAAAAAACAACTGAAATAATTTTTATGTAGGTTAGACTTATCTGATCACTTTAAAAGACAATCAGAATCTACACGTTAACTGCTTTATATGATTAAATCTTGTAAGTGGGATAACATAAGGCAAATATAACAGCTTACAGCTTGAACAACTCCTGCTGTTGTAGACAACACCGAAGTTACGATTAGCACAAAGTTCTTAACTTGCTGGCCAACCCAGAAACATGAAGCAGAGCATCATGGTATTATTTATAGAGCTTCTGCGCAGAGCTCATTTCTGCAGTTAATCTTGATTCACACAGAACCAACATTACACCACTGAAGCTCGGCCAGAAATGAAGCATCCAACCCAGACTTTTGAGCAGTTACCACACCAAGTCAGTAAAAAGGACGCACCAATAAGAGGCACAGCCGGGCAGGGGCACGCAGGGCGGGCAGGTGGCAGCCCCAGAAGTGGCAGAAAGGACTTTTTCACCCCCCCCCTTTGTGAAACCCAGGGTGGGATTTCCTCACTGAACCACCCAGAGCCAAACAGACCTGCCTTCCTGCCGGCCCACAGCCCTGCCCAGCCCTCAGAGCTCCTCCAAGGATCACCAAGGGCCGGGACGTTACAAAGACCACATTTGAAGAAATGCTGCTACTTTCAGTTGGTTTATTAACATTACATTGTGGCTTTTAATATAAACTTTAAGAAGTTCTAATACAAGCAGTAAACCCACTTCAGCACCTTCTTACCACAATGAGAGCGAGAGAGAATTGGTACTTTAAACAAAGAACTTTATAAAGTGCGTATGAAAATTACAGTCAAATAAACACAATTCAAATCAACGCTCGTTCTACCATCAAACAAGGAGGTGAACATCTTAATGAACAAATCAACTGTTATGCCAAGGTCAGGAGCGCCTTTCAATTCAGCAGTTTGGTCCAGTGCAGTTCTTAAAAAAATAAATAGTAACAACAACAGAATGTTTCCCACGGATAAACAAACAAACCCAACATTCTCTGTCCTCTTTAAAAGGAACGGGACCTAAAAAGCACCAAATTCATAAAATCTGCAATAACATTCTTCAGATAGGTCCACAAGTCCTCACATTTAAATCTAATTAAAAGCAAAGAAATTCGAACCCCTGCGAGAACCACCTCGTTACACACTCACATCAACTGCAGCACGAAAAATAATTACCAAAATAACAAGAGAAGGAAATGAAGGTTTCCTTTCTAGCAATAAGTAGTGCATTGGATTTTGAATGTTCTGTTCTGCAGTGCAAACGGAACGTTCCGCCTCCTTCCCACCTTTGGGCTCAGAAGTGTGAAGGATGCCCATACTGGTTCACTCCCTGCGGTTGGTTACCTGGTGACGAAGCAAAGGAACGAGCTGCACAGAACGCAGCGCACCGCGTTTCAGCAGCAGCGCGCCGTCGGTCGCTGCCACACAGCAGTGAGGCGAGCGGTGGGGCAGCAGTGCGGGCAGCCGGCCCCTGCCACGGCCCTCCGTGACCCACAGAGCCCCAGCTGCGCCGGCTGCAGCACCACACTGTGACATGGCTGCCGGGTGCAGGGCCTGCTGCCAGCCACTGACAGCTCCCACGTTAGTGGGACACTACTGCACATCCCCCCACAGACGGACGGACAGACACGGCTGCACTCACTGGAGAGCTGCTTCTGCAGCTGCCGGACCAGCGCCGCCGTCTGCTGCTGCTGCTGCGTCTGCTGCAGGCCCTGCCTCGGGAACTGCTGTGGAAAGACAGGTGGCAGAAATCACAGCATGAGCGCACGCTGGTAGCGCAGAAAGCAACGCTCCCATCCCAGCTGAGCCCACCATTGGCTGCTGCAGCACAGATCTCCCAGGGACGGCTCCGGGCCCTGAGCCCAGCAGACAGTGTGACCGGAGAGAGGCAGAGCTGCCCAGCAGCAGGTCCTGAGCACGTGTCCACAGCGGAGCGAGGACACAGGAAACACGCTCAGAACCCCCAGGACATGTTTTCTTCATGCCCTGACATTTCACATGTCTCCAATGCTACTACAGGTGTCATAGTGTGCGCTGCTGGTCTCCCCATCCTTTCCACCCCTGCAGAGCCCGGTGTTATCCTGCACATTGCTTTCAGCAACTTTGCTCTCTGTCTTGCTCAAAGCCACGGATAACCAGAACTGCTCATCAAAACTAATGTCCTTTTGGCAGCTGTAAACACCCTTGTGTAGCTCAAGAAACTTCTAGGAAGATGTTTCTCTCAGGACAGTGGCACTTCAAATGACATGAAGGATAAGCACAAAGAAGAGCTGTTCACGTGCTGCAGGGCTCTGCCTGCTGGTTCCACTGTGGTGGAGAATGCTCAGCATGTGCCATTAGCAAACCTCACTCTGATCTGAGCACAGCCCATGGGAGCAAGGCAACCCTCCCACAGCACACTGTTATGTGTGACAGAATCAAACACTGAGAGCTTCCAAAGAAATCTGCTGCTAATGAACTAAATCGTGCCTTCAATCCTTTCGAAAGCACCCTTTGGTGTAAATTCATGGACTTCCACAAATTTGTACGCTATCTACACCGCATCAAAGCAGAATTCAGTCTCTAACTGGTACACTTGACAGCACGTGTTATTCCCTAGCTGAACAGCCCATGCAATGTATTTCTCTGCGACACTAGGCAGGAGAACAAGCACTGTTCTGTTTTCGGTGCTTCTACCCATCAGCCAGAAGAAAATCACTATTAATAACTTAATAGGTCAGCTACCTGTAGGTCAGACTCACGGAATCATTAAGGTTCAAAGACCTCCAGGATCATCAAATCCAACTGCCAACCCATCACTGAAGTACATATCTGTCCAGTCAAGCTGCTAAATCACAACTGATAAATTTGGGCGGTCAGACCATCTGAAGCAATGGTGCTGCTAGGATGGGTTCCTCTGGAGTCAGAAATGGTGCACAGCAGAGGTGTTTCCTCCCTCTGGAAGCACAGATGTCCCCTGCATGAAGTGAAACCTGTGTGCCAACTGCCTGGGGCTGCCGAGCACAGAAAGCTGATGGCACAGCTCTGACACCTTCCTGCTCCTGAGGGACTGTGATGCACGAGGGACTGCTGTGCCGGCTGCTGAAGTCAAAACTGTCACCACTTACTGAACTACCTATTTACTGCAGGGCCTTGGAGCTCCCTTGGTCTGTTTTCAAAATCCGACTGCTTTTTCTTCTCGTTAGATCTGATGAAAGGACACGTGCTTCTACTTACGTGCTTTTTTTTCTTTTACATACAGCACCCACAGTCTCTGCTTAACAACACACCACCCAGCCTCACGTGCTGCCTGAAGTGCAGCGCAGTGACACTCGGTGGCAGCACACACTGCGCAGATCCGCTGTTTCTCTCAGTGAAACCCTGGCTAACCAAAGGGACTTCCAGGGCTTTAGGAAGACTTTAGCTTTTTTTTTCTCTTTCTGAAAACCAATCCTTTACTTAAAATATATTGTGTAATCCTCTGACTCTAGTAACTGCTGAGGTTAGTGAAACGTATTAACCACACACCAGGGCCTCCTGGGGATGTGAAACCCACATGGAGTGCTCTGCTGCTGGAGGAGCGGGTGCCTGGTGGCAGAGCTCTGCCTCTGTGGCAACCCATCAGAGGCAGCCTGCTCAAGACAAGAATACTGAGAAAAGCTTAGAAATGGATATAAATGATCTTTCAGTAGTGATCAGATGAAGACCCCTCGTTTATCACTCCTCCCACACCTGCATACTGCCTTTTGGTTTCTCTGTCAAATTGCATTAATGCCTTTGGAGTTGGCAGCTGGCAGATTTAGTGTCGCTTGTATTTTCTCCATTTTTCCAGACCAACCTTTTCTAATTATCCTCTTAAACACGTCTGGAAAAAATGGCCATGTCCAGGAAACACAGACAACAGCATTGCAAATTCAATGTAAGCTTCACCCAGTCTGCCCCTGCCCCATGCTCATCATCCATCCCACTTACCAGGGGCTGCTGCGGCTGCACGGGCTGGAGATCAAGAGTCTGCTGCTGCTGCCCCTGCTGCATCTGAAAGAAGACAGGCCCTGAGACAGCAGACAACTGCACACACAGCACCTCGGGGGGGGTCCCTAAGACAGCACCACAGCTGCTCATGGCCAATGCATGGGCTGGGACCTGGGCTTGCACACAGGAGGTCCCAGGAGGTGTGAGCCTGCTGGTGTTCCAGCTCTGCATCATCAGCTGCACTGAGCTGAGACATTTGTAATAACCAAAATACATTCCAAAGCTGGTATGTTTAATTTATTACAGCAAAATGTCCAGATGAAAGGCACCACCATTTGTCAGGAATGGGCACAGATATCCATTGCATTACAATGAAAACATGGAAATAATTCCACAGGACCAAGGAAGGATGCATGCAATCCCCGCAGAGAAGCGCCTGCAGCCTTCAGGGCAGTCGGGTTCCTCACCTGGAAGAGTCTCTGCTGTCGGATCTGCTGCTGCCTCTGTCGCATTTGCTCCTGGGGCAGCTGTGCTGAGCTCAGGCTCGGATGGGTACGTGTGGTAGATGTGCTGTCCAGGCCTGCTCCTATCAATGAGTTTGGCTGCAAAGGTTGATGGGTCAACCTGGTTGAAAAATAATACAATAAGTAAAAGGTATTCTACTTCACTTAAAGACAGAGCAGAGATAGTCTAGGAGCACTACTAAAAGCTGTAACATCAGGCTTCAACAGATTTGAAAGACGCAAGTTTTACAGGATGACTACTGTTCCAAATAGGAATGCTTCAAGAAGTACCCAAACCAGAAGCTGCACCATCCTCCCACGCTGCAGGTGATGCAGGCAGGACACCATTTCACTCTCACTCTGTTAGAAGGAGCAATGAGCCTCTACATTTCAAGCAAGCACTCTAACAAGCATTGAAGTGTTCTCTGAGAAAAACATCCATAGTTAATTACATTTCCAGAGATTCAAAACAGATTATAAAGACTTCTTACTTCCTGAAATAATGGAAAAAACTACCAAGCGTGAAACACTTTGGACCTCTAGATCGAAGTCACGGTTAAACCTTGCAAGGTTACAGCTCCGAGAAGGGCAGAAGCTCACCGCTGAGCGCCCGCCACGGGCTGCATGTAGGCAGCTGCCTGCTGCTGAGCCACGCCACCCGGCTGCCCCGGCCGCAGCCGCTCCATCAGCACGGGGCTGGAGTGGGCCGTGTACGCCCGCGGGGTGTAGCCAGGAGAGAGCACCACGCTGCCGGGCTGCTGCTGCTGCAAGGGCATCGGGGTGCTGTACATCGTGTACCCGTGGGGCATGCCCTGCATGGAAAGCAGGCAGAGAGGAGCTTCATGTTGGAGTTACATAAACCAGCGTCATTGTAAAAGAGGTCACATTACAGACTTGGCACTGAAGTATGCTTGTCTTCTACCAGAACATCACTGGGGAAAAATGCGCAAGTTACAGCTATTTACAGCTGTGGCATGCAGAGAGCAGCGAGCTCCCATGGCCGAGCATCACACCACCCCGGGGCACAGGCACCATCCCAGCCTCCAGCACGGCCGGCCAGCCTGGAAGGGAAGGGGCTCAGTTTCACTTGTGGCTGTGCTCTCACTCTGCAGAGCAGTGCAGTACCTGTGCTTGCTGAAGCCCTGCGTACTGCGGTAGCTGCGGCGTGGGTCGGACTTGCGGGGTGAAAAGAGCAGCGGGGTCCATCGGCTGACCCTGCAAGACACACGTGGTCAGACTGGCCCTGCTCCTGACAAGACAGCAGGAACAGGGAGAGGATCCCCTGTTCCTCCAGAAGTGCCTGGCCCCGAGCTGCCTATGGAGCAGGGGCAGGGCTGGCCCTGATCTCTGGCACAGGCACTTCTCCACCACTGCAGCACTGCAGCTATCTGCCAACAAGGCTGCTGCTGTTTAAAGGGCAAGTGCCCTTTAAAATGGAGTTTTGCAAAGAATTTCTCCTGCCTTAAGAGGAAGAAAGTTCACATCACAGAGACTGACATCACCTCTTTTCCCCAGGAATGACTGAGTTTTGTGAAACATCAGCACAGATCTCTAAGCAGCAGAGGGCCCAAAGCAGGGCTGCTCCCACTGCATGCCCTGCCCAGCACAGGGCTGCAACGCCGGGCAAAATGGGAGAGCACAAGCCATGCTTGGATGGACATGGTGTCAGGGAGCACTGAGACTGCTGTGACCTCTCACAGTGAGAAACACAACACCTTCTGAAGAGGAAAAAAACAGTGATGATGCAGTTATTGGGAATGTTTGTAACAAAAATATTTTGTGTGTGCAAGTATATTCACAGCCTTCTCCATGCAGCCACCGCACTGCTGAGCCATGAGGAGTGCCCAAAGCAAATCATTCCCATTAAAAGCAGAGTGCAGCCGGCGTGTTGGAAGGAATGACTGTGCAAAAGAGAAAGAAAGTTCACAATCCCCAAGCAGTTACCATTATGTTGTCAAAGCCATCCTGAAGGGATACAGCAGAGCTACTGACATCCTGAAGGAAAAGGACAGGCAAGAAAATAGCAAGCAATACAGAGAATACACATTCCTAGGCTCAGAGTTCTGGTGGAGCAGCACAGCACCCTCACAGTGCCCACCTGACTGCACCCACAGCACATGGTGCTGGAAATGATGGCAGAGTCCTTCTGGGTTTTCCATGACACTAATAAGCCTCAGTATTTTTATAACATTTATGAAACACCGAACATGGAAAGGACTCCCTGCCATCCACAAGAGCCTACTATTGCTACACATAACATGCAACATTTTTTGGACAAAGCACGCTCTTCGCAAAACCTGCACACAGCCCTTCCTGTAAAAGAGCACTGCAGATTGGTTGGTACAAACTGGTGTCACAGAACCATCCTCTCCATGGGCTCAGGCTGAGCACGGAGTTCCATTCTCCAGCTGTAGAGATATGAAATATAAGGAAACCTTCCCTACTGAAGCTTGGCCAAACAACCTATGTCACATAGTAGCAGTGCTCACAAGTTGTCTTGTTCCTCTCTTTCCAAACACTCCGTGCAGGCACACACACCTGCGTAGCATTCCCTGCCCTGTCACCAGGCAGTGCACCCCGGGACCCCGTTGTGCATGGTGCAGGGCAGCAAGGCTGGGGTTGGACCTGGTGCATCTCCAGGGTGGATCTGGGCTTTGTGTGCATCACAAGAGAGAAAGTGAAGAAGGATGACAATGATGATGAGGGAGCTCCAACGGAACGCACAGCATGAGAGGAACCACAGGGTACCTGCTGAAAACTCTGCCTGCCTCGAGCAACCTATGCACATCACAGAGTGTGAAGGCAAGAACTTAGCATAAGGACAGTGCAAGATACATGACCTCAGAGATGGTAGGAAAGGGTACAGAAGGGCCTTAAAAGTGAGCAGTTAATAGTTATACCACCACGGTACACACACTGTTGTTTGTCTGGGATAGGAAAACCAATTTTTGTCTCTTGACGCCATCAATTCAGCAGCAGCCTGGCTGTAACCATGTTCTAAAAACTAGCTCGGGCTCCAAAAGGAGCTGCACAGCAGGCATATGTGGTTTGGCATATGGCAACATTACACTGCAAAGCATTAGGAGAAAATATCAGGTGCTTCTAGACAACATGCATGCCTGTGTGCATGTGTATGGAGACAGCATCTGATGGAATTCTGGAATTCCAGGAATTTTCCCTGGAATTTTTGTAGGTAAGGAGTACTTGCTGCTGACTGGTAGTGTGGTGGTACACAGCACCGTGCCATTCCATCAGCAGAGCCACTGGTGAAACAACAGGAGACTGCTATAACATCAAATATGAGAAGCAAAATCTGATTTTAGGAAACAGAGTGAAATAGAAGGGGCTACGAGACCCAGGGGCAGGAAGTATGACAGCGATGACCCCACTTAAGCAATACTTTAGAAGTTACTACGACTGTAAACGTCAGCTGGCTCCCCACTCGGTAAGCCTATGCAGGGCAAGCGGCCTCAGCAGAAGGTAAGAGCTGTGCTGCTCATCAACCCTGGGGCTTTGGACAAACCTGCTGGAGAGACCGTGCCTGTGCTTGGTGCCTGAGGAGCCGCTGCTGCTGCTCTTGCTGCAGGAGTTTCATCTGGAGCAACTGCTGCTGAGGTGTGACTGCGTGGAGGGAGGGCGGCTGCAGCACGGAGCGCCGCTGCAGCATGTTGGACAGGGCCTGCTTCGTGTTGGCTGGGACGAAGGAGCTCGTCGGATCCAGCCTGGAGCCACCTGAAAGCACCCAGAGCACAAACATTCAGCTGCATTCTGTGCAAAAGCTGTCAGTACAGATCGCTGCTAACTCACTGGCTTCCACTTGGTTGGCTCTATCGTAATGATGGTAAGCTCATCTCCGTAAAGGAAGGCAAGGAACTGAACTAAACCAGATTTCTGGCTGGAAAAATTAAAAGGGCAAAAGAGCTTTGAAAGCTACCACTTGCAAATGAGAATGGAAAGTAAAAAGGCTATGGGCTGCATCCTCTACATCACACAGAATGTTTGACTGCTACTGAAAAGCAAAAATTACATGCCAGATCAAAAACATGGTAGGAACAGCTCATCATGACAAGCCATGTTATCATTAGATGGCAGTAATTAATGCATTCTGTGCTGCCTGATAGAAAAATACGGACCTGTAGGTCCATAGACTTACAAAGGTACATCTTCTCCACTTTTTTCTTTCTGCTTTTTTAATGATCTTTTCTTAATTTCCTAGACACTGTCTGGTATTCTCTGAAGACTTTTATGTATCTTAAATGCAGATTAAGTTATATTTGGAGCTTTAGAAAAAATATTCGACATTTATAACTGGAAGCAAACATCTACGCTTCTGTGCATAATGCCTGAGGAGAGCAGAACATCTATCTTTCAAAACATCTGCTACACACAGCTCTAAAATACGTTGCTTAAATTGTTTACACCCTGCCTGGAAGAAACAAAACAAATGTACAAAAAAAAAAAAATCAGCTCAACCCAAATGCTGGAAAAATAAAAATAAAAAAAAGTCAGCCCACTGATTATTTATTCCATCTTGTAGATGTTAAATTAGCCACCATGGTTCTTGGTCTGGATCAGATAAGAAATGAAATAGCCCCAAGGTCATTTGTTCCTTCTAATCATCTCTCCCTTATTTAACTTCTCTCTGAACTTTCTTAGAAAGAAAGCTTTCCTACAGCTTTCTTAGAAGAAAAACCCATCAGCGCCCCAAAAAACGCACCACAAACCACCAGCGGGTCATTCTTGCTTCTCTACCAAACGAATTCAAGAGCTTAGCACAGCAGATCTACCAATGGAGGGAATAAAACAAATGGCACTGCTGTCACAGCCTGCCTCAGAGTCAGGAACAAAACCCGGCTGCACTAAGTCAAATTTACCACCCAGCAACAAGAGCAGAGGTGAGCTCAAAGCTCAGACATACCTGGAGGGAGGGGCTGGTTCTGCGCGAAGAAGCCAGGCTGCTGCGGCTGCCCCACGATGGTGTAACCCCACAAGGCAGACTGAGGATGCTGCATCATTTGTGAGGGGACGGGCGAGTAATTGGGAGGCACTCTGTATGCGCTGCTCGGTGGATATTCCTTAAAATACACAGGAAAAGCGAATGTTACTGACATTCATACCTTACTAACTCATAAATAATGCCGATTTTCCTACTAAATTATTAAGGGATAGAGAGAGTTCCCATTGTCGTTTGCAATGATGTAAAAAACAGATTAAGTCTCAGGCTGCCCACAGGTAATTAACACTAACAACTTCACCGAGACGCCATCCATTTCTATCTTATTAGCAGGCGCCTTCGGCAGGCTACTGTTAGGCACAGCACAGGCACACGTATCTGTACCGTTCTGTATCTAAAGGAAACAGCAGGAGGACCTTCACTGAAATATCAAAAAGGCCAGAAAACTGTGTCCGAGTTACTTTTGTTTAAGATGCCAAACAATGACAAATGTAGCTGTAGTGCAGGTGGTGCTGGGCATATCTTCCAAACCCTTGCTCTATTGTGACCTTCACCCACACCTCAAAAAACATGAAAACCAACAGGGCCAACACGGCAGCAGCTCCGAACAAGCTATATGGCAAAAAGGTGTAGCTGTGTGGAAGAGTGCCTTTCAAATTATTCTCTGTTTGAATGGGACCCAAGTTTGAGCCCATGTTTGCTCTCAGAACATAGTTTGAGCAGGAGGAATTTCAGAAAGTGAGAAAGAATGTATTTGCTATAATTTTACACCAAATGAGAAAGCATGCATAGAACATGAGCAATATTCAGTGAGCGAAGATCCAGCCCAGCGCCGTTTACATAGCACGGAAGGCCCTATGCACAGTACACTCCTCTACACCGATTGTGTTTGATAGAAACCCAGCCTCCTGCTGACCATTTCCATTCTCTCCCTTTGATGGAACCCCCCCAGGTAAGGCACAACTTGTGAATGCAGCAAAGACAGCAAGGCGACGGGATGTTCCCAGCTCTGCACGAGGCACCAACCACTTACATCAGCCTTAGAGCTTGACTTTGACTTCCTCTTCCTGCCCTTTGTCTTCTTGTCGTCATCCGTGCCGTGTTTTCCCTGATCAGAGAGCTCTCCTGACTTCTTTTCTGGTTCCTGAGACACAGGGGTGGTGGGCTCTTCCTCCTCCTCCTCTGGAGGCAGAGGCAAGGGCTCGAGGTAGTAGCTCCGCGGCTTGGGTTTGGGGTGCGCGTGGTACAGGAGCAGATGCTGCTGCTCCTCGTATTTGATGACCTTCCTGTCCACACGAACTGTGCCAAACCATGCCCAGGAGAGAGGAGCGGGATTTTTATGACCTTCAAATAAGTCCCAAGGGGACACCTTTTGTTTTGTTGAAACCTGAAGACCCTGTATTAAAATAAAAGTGAAGTCAGCACTTTAGGGAAGCTGAACACCACTGCAAACTACTTGCTTTTGCTCAGCACGATCTGAATCACAAAATCCAGTGAGGGTCCTTTCCCCCCACAGAACGTACCAAGTGCACGCTGATGGGCCTTCAGCCTCCATCCAAAGCTGCTGCTGGATAAAAGCTGTTAAATTTTTATAGTAGCATTTGCTTGTAGCCATGCTAAAAATCTCAAGTTCCACCAATCACGTTTAGGAGGAAACGAGATACTGCAGAATTACAAGTTCTAGCTTTCTTCCTCCCATAAATTCACCATAAAAAGAATGCTGGCAAAAACCCCTATCAGCACACTTTGTGTTTTCTCTTTCTTTCCTCCATGTTTTGTAAGCAGGAGCACCCCCTGCATCGTCCTCCCAGCATGTAAGAGGACAAAAGGTTTCCAGGTCAATCAAGCTCTCACATGTAGGATTCTGCTGAGAAAGCAAACACTGTTGTAAGAGTTTCAGCTCTTCAGCTACAAGAAGACATAATTTTCCTTCTCGGTCAGTCAAGACGCTGGATTGCAAAATCAAGCAAGCTTCTGTCAGCACTCATTACATGAGGAGTCACAAATCGGCCACGTTCTGCGGATCATCCGGCTCTGGTTTGTACAAGGTTTGGTGACAGACTTATGGACAAATCAGAAAGTGATTTCTGTCTCAGAAATCCCTGAGCTTGTATGGGTGGCATGAAGCTGTGTCCATTCCAGAGGCACTCAGATGAAGAGCTCTGACCTATCTATCTGCCACTTGGGAGAGGTGTCAGGAGAGGACAGCAGCACTGTCAGTGCTGATGCAGGATGGTGGTACTGCACACATCGCACTACGATGCTGGAATCTGAAAGCCCCTCTCCAAACCCACTCCTGGCTTCAAACACTGCCCAAGAACCTTCACATGGATCATGCAAACAAACACCCTGCATGTGTATTGAAACCAGAATTACATTGGGTACCAAAACCCAGTCAATCACTTACAACTGAACAGTGGTGTCCTGCAGACCTGGCACTGCACACTTTTGCATCATTGCTCAGTTAACAGGGATTGCACTGCTGAGGCTGAAGTTTGGTAAGGACTGAATGCATTAGCAAGCTGCACTCCAGCAGAAGTACAATACTTTTTGGATACTGGATATAAATGTGTGTATTATACAAGCTGTACACATTTACTTGAATTGCCCATGCATCAAAACATTACAAAAAACCAGAGATGAAGGTATGCATTTACTCTTGCCTGTTTCTTATCAATGGAGTCAAACCCTGCAATTTTGTTGCCCTTGGTGTCGATCAAGGATCCCATTGGCTCGCAAGTAATAATATCACAAGTCTGCTTTGGCAAAGGGAGCAGCTGGCGAACCTTGTCAATGCTGTCCGACCGCTTGTCTCCCAGCTCCTTCTAAGGGATAAACAAAGTGCTCAGTCAAACAGGAAGGTGGGAAAAAAGGAAGAGAAACATTGCACTGCTTTCACTATTAGAAAATGTCCAGTTAGGGGATGAATCATTTCCCTGTGCTTTTACTAAATTTAAACAAGTGTCCTTGCAGGCCTGTTTAGCTTGGTTTCAAGAAAACGAGTTACCTTGTTGGAATAGATCACACAACATATGTAACACAAAGTGAATGCAAGTTTAGTGCCTCAAACATGAACAAAAAAAAGCAATTAAGTCTCTGTCAGGGTGCTGAATGTAATGTAACAATAAGAATTATCTTCGTAGTTTGTCTCCCTGCCCTCACATTCCTGATTTCTTATTTCCTTCTTCCCTTCCTTATTACTAATGCCACTTCACTCCCCCTCCTCTTTCCAAGGCACCAGAAATGACGAGATTCAAAAGAAACGCTGTAGATGATGAGACACAACACTTACTTTTAACTTTTTCACTAAATTCATGTAAGCCCTTTTGTTTTCCTCAGGCCCTCCCTGGGACGCGTTGGACAAGTCGGAGGCGAGCGTCCCGTTGATGAGGACACCCAGCATATCCAGCACAGTTGTGAACAAGTCGCTGCGAGCGAAACGACAAATGTCACTGTGAGGAGCTGCCGTCCAGCGAGAGACCCAGGGCAGACATTCACAGCAAGGCCAGGCACGCAGCTCTTTACAGAAGCTGGATCTGCAGTGCTTTCTGCAGGCACACATCTCAGCATGCACACGCAGCCCCTGTGTACGTGCTGGTGGATCGTCCCCGTGCACACATACATCTTACTGTGCACCACAGCACAGAGCTGCTGCCAGATGGCCACCAGGAACCACAGCTCTGCTACGGAACGCGCCCAGGTAAATGCTCATTAAGAAGCCGTGTGAACAGTTTTTCCAATGCTTTCCAGAATAGAAGTGCTCCCCAGCTGAGCCCAGCTCTGAGCACATAAGTTGCAGCCAAGCAGAATAATAATAAGAAAAACACAGCGATAGCATACATCCAATCTAGACTGAACACCACATTAAATAGCTTGTTTAAACAGCACATACTTGTTGGTCTGCATATCAACTGTTCCCGAAGTGATTATCTGGAGGAGCAGAAGTGCCCAGTCCGTGGTCCACTGGGTGCTCCTCTGCACAGTGTCAAACATGCCACCTACCTGCAAAATAACGCAGCAGACAGCAAAGCTCTGCATTTATCTCACACTTCCATTATCGTGTGTATTACTTATGAATAAAATTGTCAGTCAGCCCCACGTCTTCCTGTGTGCTGACTGCCATCCTGATGTGCTGACCTTCAGTAACTTTCCTCCCCACCCCAGGCTCTCAGCAAAGTTTTACTTAAGAAGGAACTGTGGAAAAGCATTACAGTGCTCTGTCAAACAGCTTCACGTCTTCACCTGCTTGTTTGATGCAACAAATTTTGAAGTGTGTGAACAGATTCTCAAAACTGAAAAGGTACTGAAGTAAACCTTTGTAGTTATTGCCTTCCCTCTATATGCAAAAACAAAAAACAAACCAGTGCACAGAAAAGGATGTGAGCAGCAAGACAGCAGTGAATGAAAACTGCTACATGATACGCTTTACCCCACGAACAGTTTTTCCTAATTTCTACCAGTATCGTATTTTAATGCAAAATAAGCCTTTCCATCAGAACTAGTCTGAAACAAGAGAGGTGGGAAGGGCACAGACCTCCTCGCTTTGCTGTGTCTCGGCCTGGGGCACTGAGGTCCCTGCTGCCACAGCCAGCTCTGCCTGGGGCCACCACGCCTGTCCCCGTGTCCCCAGCCAAGGGCCTCAGCCCACCCTGCAGGGCTGTGTCTGAGCACTCCTCCCCTCCAGCTCTGACCCTGACCCCCACCCGCGCGCTGACATCCCGCCTCCATCCTGAGGGAGGTGACAGATGCCCCTCAGATCCCAACGCTCAGGGAGCGCCAGCCCCCGCAGTGCCACACGCAGCACTTCAGAGCAGCTGCTCCATACCAACACAAGATTTTCTTACCAGATTTAGACGAAGCTGTAAGGCTTCATGCATCATCTGTCTAGCTTTAACATCGCCCTGGTACCGTTCTTCCCTCCAGTTACTCAGGATCTAAGAGAAACCATTTGATTAAGGCTGTTTTCCACTTGCACAGGCATTTTTCCCCTATAAAATTTATGGTTTTGTGACTATTATCTTTAAGGAAACAGGAAGGAGTATTAACCTTCACATACTCATACCCGTTCAAAGCTTAGAGCAGATTAAACAAACTAAAGAAATGTAAATATTTATAAAGAGCTGATGTTCTGCTCTCAATTATATGACTAGATCTTCCTGATGCAACAAAAGGAAAATGAGCAGCCTGGCTATGTGTTTGAGAACAGTCTCAAACACTCCTTTAAACTGGGTATGTAAATGGGTGTCTTGCATGGGATGCAGCTTCCCAGCAGAAAATGTTGGGTGCACAGGACAAGAAATAAGCAGAATCTCAGGGAAATTGCACCTGCTGTGTTACAGGGGGGAACCACACAGCAGAAGAGTCCATGTGGCAGCACTACCAGGAAAAAAAAACATCAAAAGAAATACCAAGGGCAAAAAAAGGTCAAAGGAATGAATTTAACCAGGATGTGGAAGTCAGAGCCTGGAGTTGCACTGAGCAGCAATATGAGCAAATAATGGCCCTACAAGTATTAATTTTCACTGTCACAGTAAGTTAGAGAAACTAGAGACAAAAAAAAAGAGACATAATTGCACCACACCATGCACTGCATATGTTCACTTAAAGGACAGTCTGGAGAGTTAATGAGGTTCATGCAGGCACAGCAGGAACCAGGTGGGAACAAGTAGGCACAGCAGAATCAGCGGGGGGGGGAACAGCACTGGGGATTCAAACAAAGAGCAGCAGGGATGGTTTCTGTAGGCAATTTGCCAGTTAGAGACTAGCAGTATTTAAAAACATATATATATGTATGTTCCATAGTTTCGAGTCTCAAACCTATAAAAACTTCTTAAGACCAAACAAAAGACTGAGAAGCTTCCTCTCAGGACAAGAACTGAGCCAGGAAAGAACTGAACCAGACTCACATTCATTAAAGTTTGCTGGAACCATTTTAGGAAAAAAAAAAAGATGTATTTTCTGTAACAAATGGACAAAACTTTTCCCCATTCTCTCCTCCCCTCACTGCTCCTTCCAGCAGGCCATGTGTTACAGTTCTCCTGGTTTGAACCCCTCCTGTACACGTCAAACCGGTGACACAAACGTCCACCGAAGGAGCTCATGGTTACGTGCTGGTTGTACCTGATTGACTTGATTCTGCAGTGATGTTAGCAGCCCTTCCCGCTGCTCATCCTGTCCCTTAAGGCAAGTAAGTACCAAAGACAGGAAAGGTTGCTGACTCAGGAGAGACATGCTTTAGGAGAGACAAACACAGAAGTCAATTAGTAATGCTATTCTGATAGCTCCCATCTCCACTCCCATCTTTGTTTTGTCTATTTTTTTTTTTCTGGAAGTAGCATTGCCTACATTTAGCTCTGTTTTTGTTTTTGTGAATGAAAGCCTCACAGGACAAATTAAAAGAACGTGCACCTAGAAGTAGGAAGAGCAGCAGCCACTTACTGTACGTGTCAGTGCTGAGAACCCACCGAGCTGAGGGCACCGCATGGCCAAAAATCACATGGACACTTGCAGGTCTGACTCAGAACATGTTATTTTAAGACTGCTTTCATTAACTAGGGATATAATTGTGGTGGAGACCAGACAGCTAAAGCTTCTAATCCATCTGGTGGCCCGAAGTGAATCCCAAGTTTCCCCTCTGAGCACTGATTAAAATGAAAGCCAACTGAATCCCACTAAAATTTTACCATGGGTTTAGCATATGCAAATCCAGAGGTAGCTTTAACTGGTTGCAGGAAACATGCCATAACAGTGTAAGGGCATTCAGAATCCATATATGTATTCTTTAGAGTACTGTGTATCTGTTATGAACATAAAATGCAGGCAAACTGAGAGAAACATGCAGAGACAAACCTGGGAGTACAATAAATGAAGTAGAAGAAACACTAAAAACGTGAGCAAAGGGATCTGAGTAACAGCTCATGCAATGATTTTTACAGTTTTAGCTATGTAAACTCCTAGGAAATGACTCAAATCCTGAACAGAATAAAGCATACAACCATGCACACAGATTTGTTTCGTACAGGTATTCATTTCAACAGCTGTTTTCATTTGGCATTTAACTTGACTTCAGCAATTTCACTGACAACCAGACTAAAGGGACAGCAAAATCCCTAGGCCCTGTAGGACAAACCAATTAGAAGGCCTACATTTTCAAAAATCATGTTAAAATTGGGATTTTTCAGAGCTAAGGAACAACATGGTAGGAGTACCTGTTGGCTTTTGCATTAATTGCCACAAGAAAAAAATGACAACTTGCAAGACAACCACTACTGCAATTGCAATCCTTGCTACAAAGTGGTGTAAATGCTTTTAATTCTATGCATAGAAGCCAAGACAGAGGAAGGGCTTAACAGTTTCTAGAGCCATGTTATTTGAAAGCGGCTTGTTTTAGGTTTTCTACACCAGAGCTTTCCCATGGGAAAAGAAACATTAGGCAAAGAGAGGTTCTACACTTCCCTCTACTGATGGATGCAGGACAGCCTCTGGATGATGTGTTACAGGACTTTCACACTTCGTCTTCTGAGACCAATGGTATTTTGCAGACTAAATTAAACCTGAGCCCTGGCTGGGGTTGGTAACTTACACGCTGCAAAGAAGTGAACCAATGACGTCTTGTGATGCAACAACCCAGTGCCCAGCACAGCCCTCCTTCAAAAATACCTGCCAGCTCTGTTTACAGAGGCCTCCCAAGGTCATACCTCTTTTGCTTCTGTCTATCTCTTTCCTTCTTAGAAGATGACCCCAAATGCTGACCTTTCTCCAGCTCCTCTCCCGCAGCTTTCAAGACCCTACCTTGCACTGAGGTAGGCAGTTTTGCAATCAAGGGAGCCACCAGCCACACTCCTCGCCACTCAGAGGAACTAGAAATAGAACAAGCTTATTTCAGCCAAAATATCCGTGCAGTTCTGCAACCAGTGCTAGCTGCTACAATACCAAACTGCTTTAATAAGGACACAACACATCTGCAGTAACTAGTGTGGACAGAGCAATCGTAATCTCTGGTTTCCGAAAATTCAAGAATAATTATAGAAAATAATTCATTGTTAAACTAAGGTACACAGCAGTAATCTTCAGGTAAGTCATCCCTGTTTCAAGAGCAAAAAGTCTAGGCAATCTATGCATAATTAAGCATCACGTTGGCTAAAATAATTAAAAAGGTGCTACAGAAAATACCTTAGGAATGTCTTTTTACCATTCTGTCTTGTATTACTTGTGTCAGCATTTCCAACAGAGTTTGGATTGAAGAGGCCTATACCAGAGTTAGAAGAGTTATTGTTTAGATCAGCGGATTGCTGAAACACCTCTATTGTCGCCTTTGCAATATTATCCAACAAGCTGTTCATTTCAGCCACAGACCCAGAACCCTACAGTAAAACATAAGTAAACTAGCACATTCATGGTATGTTTGCTCATGGACTACGTTAAAATTTAACATACTTTTTTGCATTAAATATTTAGCTAAGAAAGGCTGAAGACAAATACTCACAGGCTCCTTCATGCACTGCTTGATCATTAGTTGCAGCTCCAACCAAGACTGCCGGAGAGTCCACTGGTCTAAGTTCTGGGTAGGAATCAGCATTACAAATACGTGTGTCAACACTTGAAAGGTTTGAGGGGGAAAAGGTCTCATAGTACGTGCAAAAACCTGATCTTACGAGCAGACCATCACCAGCTTTGAAAATCTGATGACATGTTGAGATACCAGACCTCCCTGAGAATGTATGCTGTCTGCTCTCATTACTCAGTACCTCTAATGTGCAACTTTTCTGAATAAAACACGCTCTGCAAAATCTGAGCCTAGTTAAATACAAATACAGAAAACGTAATTTGCCCTTTCATTAGCAATTACATTCCACCATGGTATTGCCATGCAAATAGATGTGGTGTATTTGGTACAAGGCCATCCAGACACCACCAAGTTAAATCCAGCAGCTGAAGTGACTATTTTGCAGCACACCAATTTCTTTTACTCTTGTTCTGGACGTCACTGATTTGAACCTTCAAAGTTCTACTCAAAGAAACACAGTTCTGTAGTTTGAGAAATGAAATGCTCCTGAGCTAGCTGAATTTGAACAGATGATCAGCTGAGGACCATGCAGACAGCACCTGAGCCTTTTCTATGGAGCACAAATGTCTTTCTGCCATTACAGAGCTCTCCTGCAGAATGCATCCCACCTCAGCAGCTCCCAGAGCTGCTCCCTTCCAGCAGCTGCCCAGTGACTGACACACAGCAATGGAATCAGAAGCAATGAAACACCAGAAGTCACACTGCAAGATGGTATAGCAAAGACTGGGGATCCTGAGCACATGGGACTTCTAAAGAATTATGGCCTACTGCTAGATTGCACCAGGAACTGCAAAGCAGTGCTGCTGACTGACAGCCTAAGAGTTACTACATGAGTGGCAATTTTTCCCCTTCCTTTTGTCCATTGCTTTACCTGAAGTATGCGTTTGATGTGCTGCCTCTGAGGGTTGTCCCCCTCGGAGCATTCTTTCACACCATGAGGATAACAGATAAGCTGAAGAAGTTTCTGCGCTTGCTTGTTTGAAAGAACAGGATCCAAAATTAGATCTTTATCTGTGCACAGCCTTTCAGGTTCCTTTAAACAGTGCTCTCCAACCCATTCCTGTAAGTAATTAGATAATAGATTCACAGGATCGCTTCAGTGTAATACTGATGTCTGGTAAACTAAACAGAAGAGGGATTTTCAGCATGCAAAACTTAAAAGGGAAATACTGCTCACGTGAAACCATAAATGTCTTCCATCATTCATACCTGAAAGTGTAAGACCTAACTTTTGGTTCCAAAAGTTTATTTTATGCTTTGAAAGCAACTTTGCAATAGAACAAATATCACCGCAAAAGGACTTTGAACAGACAGCTGATGGACTCTTCTGCTCAAGAGCCAGGTAGGAAAAATAAATCTGAGAGCACAGTGGATGCTAGAAACTTACTTATGGTTTTGTATATTCCTTTTTAGCCTTGATAACATCCTACTCAGTGTATTATCAAACCAGTGCAGGAAAACCAGTGAGAACTCATATACTGAAATATTTCAGCACCAATCATTCCGCACCACAATACACATTAACCTTGTCAAATGAAACGCCATTCCTTCTCTACATGAAGAGTGCAGCTGCACACATTACCTGCTGGCAAATGCTTCTGAGCACGTATCTGGCATACTCGCTTAAACTGGCAGTTTCTATGGAAACAGCTTTTCCACGTGACTTCAGAGCATGAGAGGAGGCCCACATCTCGTCCCCAGGGATCTCATCCAGCAAGCCTCTCACGGGCAGCTCCTCGCTCTTCACGGGGGTCACACTGCTGCTGCCGATCTCAGCATCACCTGCAGAGCAGGAGCACAGGGTGAGCGCTACCCAAAGCCCGGTGCCTGCAGGCAGGGGCATCTCCTGAGGCATGGGAGCAAGGAAGGGCTGGGGCAGCCGCTTCCAAAAAAAGGCAGCGCTGGGAGTCTGTCTGAAAACCGCTATGCCCAGCGCATCGTCCACCTCCTTCCTTTTGTGTAACACCTTTCTGATGGACGTTTCAGAAGTAGAGAAAGTTTTATATGAACTCAACACAACTTAAAGCCTGGTGTGCTCCACGGGCAAGGGCCCACTAGTGCATGGAATTGCTTTGGCAGATAAGGAAGAGTTGGGTTACTTGTTCTTCTCAGATGACTCTTTTTGTTCCAAGTCTTCTCTCTACTCTGATTTATAAACACTCTACGCATCAAGAGACAAATTTGGGCTGATGGTTCCCTCAGTCTGTTTCACCATGGACTTCTTCACCAGAGAGATGGACCTTTGTGGGAACATAGAAGGGCAGCACATGCTGAGGGAGCTCTGGCAGAGCCCAGGACCCCTTCCTCTCTGCAAGGCATCAGCTCAGCACGGCCACACCACCTGCCTGAAACAAGCAGGGCTGAGCAGACAGGACAGGGTGCAAAAAAATCAAACCTGTAAAAGTTTTAACATGACTGATGTTTAAGGCTTCAAAACCTCGGACAAGGAAGAAGATGCAGCTACAGGGTGGAAGAGTGGAGAAAGGAGCCCAAACTGCTGCACACACCCTGTGAGGCCATACAGAAGCGTGCACGATGACAGCCTGCACGTGAAGCAGGCTAACACAGCCAAACATCTCAAGTCAGCAGAAATTTCTGTGGATCATACCTGGTTCACCATTATGACAGCCATCCTCTAGAAAACCCCTCATTTGCTATTAGCATCACCAACCACATGGCATGACAAGTCTCATCATTAAGGACCACAGGGTTTTGAGACAGTTCTGAGATAGTGGCCAACAGAGAACAAAACACCGGCACTCAAGCTGGAGGTACACCTCTGTGGGCATGTGCACCTCTGGAACACCTTGCTTCTTTAACTGGACGTTTACTTAGCTCCAAAAATACACATCATCATAGCTCACAAAAGCTCTAACTGAACAGAAGCCAAACCAAAAATCTGAGGCAGTTATTTGTTTGGATAAATAATATCTCCTTGTTGACGGACCATTGCATTGCAGTGATTCTTCATGTTCTTCAAGGACTGACATACACAAATTGTGGTGAAGGAAAGAAAAAGATGGGAAAAGAGATCTGAGACCTTATTTCCTCTATGTACTTGATTGACTCGCCAGAGTTAGAAATGCACTGGAGTTTGGTATGGGGAGGTCCAAGCACAAAAAGTTGGATCTGCTTGGAGCCATCAGCTGGCACTGACTCACCAGAGAAACTCTGCCTCCTGGCCCGAGAGGGAAATGCTACTCGCATGCTTCAGGAGCACAGACAGCATCTACATTTTAGTTCTGTCAGCAGGGCTTTCCTCTCCCAGAAGCATCCCCAGGGATGTGAACTAGCACTACCAGGTTTTGACCCGAGCTCTAGAACAGAAGTGTTACACGTTACTCTGCATAATCTTACCAAGCATCAGAATAGCTTTTAAGACTGCAAACACAGCTCCCACTTCTATACTGTTGTGAGCAGCAGCCAAGAGGTGACGATCACAAGAAGAGCGAATTCCAGGAAATAGCTTTCCTATGGAAAGAAGGATAAATCTTGTAGAAAATGGTTACGCTTTACATCTACAATAGCTACAGAAGTACAGTAACTGAATGAAGAACTGAACATCCTAACTGAAGCTGAAGACCAAGGATACATGGTGCTTTGGCTCTGAATGGCAGCCCAGCAGTGCCCGCACAGCCATGGTGATTTTGTTTGTTGCTGCCACACCACAAGGAAGCTGACCAGGCACAGCAGGGCAGCCAACCCCAGCTGACCAAAGAGATTCTCCGCACCATGTGGCATCATGCTCAGCAACACAGGCTGGCAGGAAAGAAAGGGGAAGCAGGGGATGTTCGGAGTGATGCCATTTGTCTTCCCAAGAAACCACTATGGGTAGTGAACATTCACTTATTTTGCCTGAGTAAGAGCAGCTCATTCATTTCTGTTCAAAAAAGAAACTACTAATTTTAGACAGAAGAACTGACATCATTTAATAGTTTAAAATAATAACTGCTTTCAGTTTATTCCTCCCTTAGAAACAGCCTTGTCATCAAGTCTGCTGAAATATTTAGAAGTCAAAACACAGGTGATTTCAATGGTTATTTCCTTTTAACTGCTACCTACTTGTTCCTTGCCCCTTTCCTTCCTCTTTTGGTCTGTGGCAGAACACACAGGTCAAACCACAGAGCATTCCAATTAAGAAGGACAGACACGTTAATATAGTCTGAGGTCCAATTTCCTCACGTTTCTGCTGTTGGACTATAGGTGTTTCACTGTGCTCTGTTTTAAAAGCACATTAATTTCTAATTACACACAAAGCTATCAAACTGCATTACGTTTATCCCTATTCACTTCTATCTCCCTGCAGAAAGACCCCACTGAGAGCCACCACTGCCCCAGCAAAGCCAGCACAACAGAGCATGGCCGTGGTGCTGCCAGCACACAGGGACATGGCTGCAGAAATGAAATTCACAGACAGAATGAGAGCTATCAGAACAGAACTCCTAAAGCTCTTTCTCTGCTGAAGTGTACATGGGTGCTGCTTTAAAACGTAATTCTTTTTCTTAAGATATGGAATTAATATGGTGGAGCTTGCCAACAGAGTAAATACCTCAATGGCCAGCTCTTGTTAATCAACAAGTTTCAGTGAACATACAGAGTTTCATAAGCACGCAGAACTTTATTTTACAAATAAAGAATTCTACACAGTAACTTTTCACTTGTGAAGACTTTTTTCCTTTAAGCAGGCTGCATTTCTAATTGTACCACGGATATTTTCACACAATATCTGAAGCCACTGCTCTGAAACAAAAGGAGCACTCAGCAGGCAGCTTACCTGCTCCCGGGGGGAAGAGGCAGACCTGCGGTGTCCTGAAGAGGTGCAGGAGAAGCCGACAAGTCATCCTGGCCCCAGGCTCAGCATCTGGGTCCCCACAGGCTATGGAATATGGGACACGGACGTAGGGCATCTACCCAGGACCTCACAAGTCATGCTGTCAGGCCTGGAAAGGTTTTACTTCACAGCCCCATTTTAAATGCAAGTGTAATAATTTCATCATCAGGAATTAGCATTTCTGGCCTTGAGCCACTCAAAACCAGGAAAGAACAGCATGATTTTTGTTAAGCCAGAGTCCTAACTAATAGCAGAAATGAATACACGATTAAACTGGCTTATGAAAGTCAGAATAGAAATAAGAAACACAAATCTAGGCAAAAAGTGAAAAGAAACATGCAATGTGGCCAACAAAGAGGAACACGGGTTCCAGTCTGCATGCTAGGATGATATGTCAGAGAGAAAATGCCAACGTCGGGCACTGATAGCAGAAGGAAATGAGAGACAGATGCTTGCTGTGGGCTGCAGAAGATAAAGGTGATCTTCCAAGATGTGTCTAAGCACAACTTCAGTAGATCTGGTAGACATCCAAGCATGCAGTGTAGAGCACGAAAGTCCTCAGCAGAAAGCGATGCTGCATCACACAAGACAGAGCACTGCCAGCAGCTCTGCCACCACTTGTCAGCCATGGGAGCTCTGCTGTAACCCAGCATCACTCCTTTTGGGAACTACAGCGACATACATGCTGTACGTACAACAGGTGGCTCTTCCTACAGGAGAGCTCTTCTCACTTCTTACTCACTCAAAGGAAACTCCCTAAAACATCTTCAGCCTTTCATTCTAAGTTTTTCTCTCGGTGTGTTCTTACCAGCTGCCAGAAGAGAAGGCAGTGCTACGTGCTGAACGACATCTTCCAGAGAAAAGCACTGCCGGGCAATCAGTATGGCAATGAAAGTGGCCAGGGAGTCGTGGAATGACAGATCACTCACCTGGGAGGGAAAACATGGCAATGCTTCACATGACAGTGCACAGTGCTGCCATGATTATTAAGGAACTCACCAGGAGAACAAACAGTAAAACGTGTACATGTGAGCAACATCCGCGCATTTCAGTGCGTCCACAAACTTTTTGTGACAATACAGATAGCTCTTAATTTTAAAATACCATCTGTTTCAGATATCACAAATTAATTCCAAAGTAACATCCACTAGTCTTATACCAATCTGGGAAAATATTACCACTCAATAAAAACTGATAACACTACCAATAATTAACCAATAAGAATATATCCCCAACATTCACAGCTTCAATCAGTTCCTAAACTGAGGACCAACCTATTGGATCAGATATTGAATACAGTTACTCATTATAATCTTGTTGACTTTGACAGGACTACGGCAACTTGTATTGGAGAGAAAAGAACAGAGAACACCTCTAGAGTCTAAAAGCCAGAGTCATTAAAATAGGGATGGTTACTTACACATCCACCAGCATTTTAGAGAAAGTGCATCTGCTCCTTTCCAAAAGCCCCTCCAAATCTTACATACTGTTCCACAACAGAGAGAAAACTCTAAGCACTGCCCTCATTTAACATTCAAACTGAAGATGTAGGAAAGAATAAAAATCAGAAATCTCAGTCCAAAGTCCAACGAAAAGCCTTGAAAACTTCAGCAGATAAATGACTAAACTGTGCCCAGCATTATGTACTGAATGGGGACCTTACTGCAACTCTATGTGTTTCCCAGGTAAAGAGGTTCAAGAGGTATTTCAGAAGGTAGTGTGAACTTACATCCACACTGCAGAGCAGATCATTGAAACCCCACACGTGATTGGAAGAGCAGCAAAGAGCTTTGACAACCCCCAGCCACTCTGAGCTCAGCACGGTGCAGCACGCCGTCAGCTCTGCACAAAGGTTTGCTATGTCATTAATCCTAGGAGAGAAGAACAAAAAGAAATATTCAGGTCAAAGCAAATTCCTGCTTGGCAAAAGAAAGGGCATTTCCCTACTCAAGGTGGAGGTAATGGCCAAATACAATTATGCTGCACATAATCTTAAGCTATCCAGCTGCGGACAACTGCAGCACCCAGAAGAAACAATGCGTGACTCGCAGCCCATGGCATGCACAGATCTGCCATGGGGCCTTTATTTTGTGCAAACCCTGCTGTTTGCACAAACCCCTGTTTGCACAAACCACCTGCAAACCCCCAGCAATACGGGCTTTCCTGCCCACTGGGCGCACTGCCTTTCCTCAGCACTGCCCTGCAAACAGCAGCAATGATCTCTGTCATGCAAACATGCCACAAGAAAGCAGTGTGTGCAGTGCTCCTCACCCCACCCCTATCAGCTCGCCCTGCGCCAGGCAGCACTACTGCTTGAGAGCAGGGAGAGAGAACATCAAGCGGCATGAATGAGTTCTTCTGAGAGCCTGGTGGAGCTGTAGATGTGCCAGTTCACTGCAGGGAAGTTGGGCCACACAGCCTTAAAGGCCACCTCCAACTCAGGTGATTCCTGAATTTCTGATTCTGTGAATTTCATTCCATGCGGTTTCAGAGTTGCATATTCTGCAATGTGTGATTCAGCGTATGACTCAGTTAAATGACATTCTTAAAAACAGAGCAGAACTGACTCAGCTCAGCACAAGTTATTTTTCCCCTGTTCCACACTAAAACCTTTTTGGACACATTTCCTCTTTGCTGGTGTACAGAATTGCTTCATCTCAGCCGCTCCTCTCTGCCAAGATGCTCCAAGTTCCCCAGATGCCTTCAGACCGTGAAAGCGGAGAAAGGCACAGGTACAGCACACAGCCTGGGCAGGAGCCAATCCAAAGGAAAAATATTCCCCAATCCCCCAGGTTTTGTGGTTTGCCAGCAGCCTTTACAATGACAGCTGGCTACTGCTGCAACGAGGCCTAACTACCGAGACTATCTTCATACATATTGGAACAGTACTGGAACACCAAAGTCCGGCAATTTTCATTGTTTAATAGGAACGAAGGTGCTGGGGACAGGCATAAGGGCTAGCTCCCAAACCAGCACCCCTTTCGTCCTACACCAGGGACTGCATGACTGGAAAACAGAGCAAGGCAGCTTTAGTGCCACAGTGCTGCTTTTGCACAAGAAGAGGTGATGCACAGAGGAAGGAGCGATGTAAAACTCTACACCAGTGTGAGTTATTTTACTGCAGGGGTTCTTAACTACGCTTCTTCAGTACCTTGAGATCACCTAGAAAGCTCTAACAGCTGTAAGGTCCAGCAGTGACACACAGGATCAGACCAAACTGCGCTGCGACAAGAGCTGGATCCTGCTGGTGCTACAGGCAGACAGAGCTGGGCAGCCTGCTGGGTGCTGATGCCACCCTTCACTCTGATGGCTGGAGCCCTGCTGGAGCCATGCTCTGTGAAGTCTAAGTCTTAGCATCCAGCTGACAGTTGTTATAAATCTAGTTGCTTCTACCCAATAAAAATTTTGAATACTTCTTACAAAATAGTTTTTGAAAAGTTACATATTACCTACAAAGATGAATTTCATAAAGAATAAATTAATTCGCACACGTAATGAATTAAGCATAGATTGCATAATAAGGAAATGATCTAATGCAGAATCTTCCCTTGTTTGCAGGCATCTAATGGGCAAAGACTGCACTGAGCTGTCCTACCCAGAACAGCACATCTGCTGACGTTACAGCTTCCAGCTTACCCTACAGTGAGCAGCTCCTACTAGCTACTCCTTTCTGTCAAATTATGCAGGTTGATTTAATTAACGTCACTTAAAGGAAACTTACTAAATACATTCTCAGCAATCGGAAAGAGTAATGAATGAAAACTATTGCAACAGAGACACAAACCAAACAGGTGAATGGAAATCTCACGTGTGCCATGTAAAAATGCACACAGTTCCAACTGCAGAGGGTCTCCCTTACCTTCCTGCATCTTGGTGCCCCATGCACACATTCATCAGAGCGTTGCAGACGAAGCTGTAGCGGTTGGCTGCGTTGTCGCTCAGGATCTTGCCCAGCATTGAGTAGTTAATGCTGTGAGCAGAAGGGTTCTCAATAAAGTCTAGCATGAACTCCGGATCCCACAGCAGATTGGAATTTGAAGGCTGAACGTTGCTGTATATTGTTTGCTTCACCTTAGAACAGGCACTACTGAGGATCAAAACAGAGAGAGTTGCCAATAAGAGAGGTATCCTGCACAGATGTTACTGGGCACGGTGGGATCACCAAGTCCTTGATTACCTCTGTGCACAGCATCAAAGCCCTGCTTGGTAAGAAGCTTCTGTGCCATCCACTGACACTGTGAGTGGCCAGGTAAAGGAGCACACACGTATTCCTTTTGGCAGTGACTTACCAAACACCACAGGCTTTCCTTGTAAGTTGTCAAAAAGTGAATAAACTGTTTATTAAGGAAAGTTTAGAGAGTGCGATTAAACACACTAACAATGCCAAACTAAAACACACAGATCACCAAGTAAAACCCAGCTGAGAAATACTGCAGAGGGAATCATAAATCATCACCAAAGCACTGCAATGCCAGAAAGGTAAGTCTCAAAATTTGTACGTTTATGAACTGTATTTTATGGTCCCTTCAAACTGATGTAGAGAAACAGCAGGACTTGCAGCCCGCTAAGAAGCTTCTAAAGCAGTTACTGGTGCAGGTCAGTGGGTTTGGTTTTGTTTTAATAGCAGTACGGAAACCAAGAAGAAAAGCAGCGACACAACACATCTGATATACAGCTGCTTAAGAAATGTATGCACAAATTTTACTGCCAGTTTTCACAGAACTTCCAGCTCCGCTGATCTGAAAAGGGGGCTTTAAGCTACATTACTGGGTGATTTTATATCCCAAATATCTCTGGATTATTAGATGACAATTTGAATTTCTGTTGCAGGGTAGGATGTTTCTTGAATTAGTGAACTTCTGATTTTAGGTAGAAGAATGACCACACATCTAATACGTTTCTGCAGTTCTTTAGTTTCATTTTCCTATTGTTTCTCAAACTAAATACCACTATTCCCACATGCTCATAAACTCATTGAAAAATTATTACTGAGAACTCTGCTCTTGCTCACCATGAAACAAAGCCCACAAATTTGAGACACACAGCCCAAATCCAGGTGTATAACTTAGGAGGGGAAACAGTAACTGGGACGGTTTGTCACTCTCACAAGAGCACAAAACTTCACAAACTCCAACATGTTTGTGTCTCTCCCCACATCAAAGAAATATTTAACAGAATGGCAGAGCTGTGCCAACCCAGAGTTTGTTATTTTCTATCCCGCGCTGTAACTACAGCCCATCACTAAAGCCTTACAGGTCAGCATTACGCCACAGCAAATCAGCTCCACGAACCCTGAGAAGTGGAGGCATGGGAAGGCCAAAGCTGTGCAGCACCACTGCCTCCCACCTCACCCCACGCCCTCACTGCACTGACGAGCAGAGCAGATCCCTGCCACTGCTCCTCCAGGGCAGCTGCAGCACCTACACCAGCACTGCACTGCTGCACGGAGCACGGGCTGGAGGACTGTACCCATAAAGATAAAGCTGCAGAGATGGCGGTGCATTTTCCACAGAAAGCAAACTGAACTGAAAGCCCAGGAGTCTGCAGCAGGCGAGGAACGATCCCAGTAGAACTCACCTGAAGAGGTCTCCAAACTTGCTTCGCAGGTGGCTGCAGGACACATACAGGTCATAGAGGTAGGCCAAAATACATCTTTCTGGGGAGGAACACTCTGAGGGATTAACAACATGCTTCACCACTCCACACAACCTGCCAAGATAAAACCATTCCGAGTTCATTCCACCACATCTCGTTTCGTTACACGTCACAAAACCCTTTGTTGGCAGGGTGATGGCAAGCCTTGCGTGCACAGACTGATGGGGCCCACGTGAATTTGGTGTCACCTGTGAGCTACGTGGGTGCCAGAGGAGGAGATACAGAGGTGCTGGGGACAACCGAGCAAGAGGGCAGCAAATCAAGACCCAGCTCCCACCATCTGCCGCTCCCAGGGGTGAGGTCCCACTGGCTGGAGCAGGCTGCAGAGGTGAGCCACCCACACCAGGCTGAGCGTGGCTCCGAGCCGGCTTGCAGCCTTTCAGCAAGGGCCGCTGCTGCAGCTCGCAGCGCCGTGCACTGCTCAGCCTCCCCACCTGAACCTAAACACAGATCTTATTTAAAAATAACAACAGAAATACTTTCAGGAAACGAGCTGCCACAAACCCTTCAAAGACTTGTGCAGTCTGCTCCGAGTTGAGAATGAGGCAGGCGTGGTAACGCCGCAGGACGGCGACGATGCACACGCACAGCCCCGTGGTGTAGCTCCCTGCCAGGCTGGACGACTTCAGCAGCAGCTCTGCCTCCACCACACTCAGCTCGTTCAGCAGCTGACAACACACCAGAACAATCAATTGAGAACAACCTCCGACATGTAAAACAGGGGCTAAAAAACAATTAAGGAAAAACTAAATGGCAAACCAAAATGGAATTCTTTGTTTGCCAAAGAACAAGGGAAAGAGGCAGCCAACTGAACTGTGAAGTACAGAACGTGCTCCTCAGAACTGTTTTTCAGAAGCAAACAGCATTTCCGTCACCCAAATGCTTTGCTGTGTAACAACATGCTTGAGCCTAAAACTGTGAAGCCCATATGAAAATATCTTACGTTAAAAGAATCCAGATTTTGATTAATTACCAAAAAAAGTACAGCTAGCCTTTGTCTGTAACAGTCAAAAACAGGCAAGAGGGGAAGTATCTGGCATGCTGTTTTAGAGGTTAGGAAACTGAAATAGAGGAAAGCACACAGCAGCAGACCAGAAGAATGTGCTGTACAGCACTTTTTTCCTTCTGGTTTCACACTATGCGTATCGCAGCTGTGTCCTGATGTATCCATTCTTAAAACAAACTCTTTTTACCTGTATTGCAAAGTCTATCAGTCCGTTGATGTTCAGCGCTGGTTCCATGAGATCAAAGATCAGCTGAATGTGGTGAGCCAAGGGGAGGTGATAGGATGTTCCTGAGGCAAAACTAGTTATTTGTTCGAGAACGTTGCTGGAGATCTGTGAAAATAGAAGTTGAAAGGCTGTATGACATCCAAGGGCTCCTCAAACACGCTAGTGCTCCAAAAATCCTGCTTTGTGACTGCTAATAGCAAGTGACAGCACTCTGTAGATAACAGCACCAACAAATCATGTGCAACCACAGAGTCTGTATGTTACTCTACTATCCTGCAAGTCAGATATAATGCTGCTATATTTTCGACAGTGATCGTGCAGAAAATGCTGGTTTGCTGCTTCACAGCTGAGGGTCAAACTCCTCTTGACAAATACCTGTTTTTAATATGCAATTTTTGTTTCAAAGAGAGCCCAAATCTCTTTTTCCAACCTATGGAACTGTGATTTTTGTACAGCGATAACAACTCACACTTCACCCTGCAAACATAATGTGAAATAAATTCATTCAGAAGAAAAGCACTGAAGATGTGTTACAAATTAAATATCAGTCATTCACTGTTAGTCTTTTCCTAGGCTGCCCTCAGGATATCAGAAACACTTTGAAACAGTAACAGCTGGAAGTGAGGAAAGCCTGTGCCCAGACATCTGCAGGTGAGTCCAGACAGACGCCAGGAGCACCAAGCCCTCAAGGAAGTTGTTTCTGATCTCCATTCAGCTGCTAAGACAGCTTGTTAATAGCAAAGGCTGAGTACCAGTTTTAACAGCAAGGGACAAACAAACTGTATTATCCAGCTGTTTTCCACAGATGTACTCAAGGTGTTGCACAAACACGCAGATGAGCTCACCATCCTTCACACAAACGCAGGAACAGACCTTACACATATGCAAGAGACTGGCTGGTAAAACCTAATTTACCAATGAGCCCTAAACAAAGCTGCTAGCTGAAACGTAAAATTGACTTCCAAATTTTCAACTAAAAAAAAATCAAATCTATAATAACCCCGAAAGTTTCTTGCAAACAAACAAACAAACACAGTAAATGCAAACAAAAGCATCCCAACAAAACAAAGAAATACCTACAGAAGCAGCATTTTAAAATACCAACACAGCACTTTCTTCTCTTACCTTAAAAGAAGCAGTGATACTCCTAGCATATATAAAACATTTCTTAAAAACCCAGGTTTGTCCCCTAATTGATAACTCTACAGCAGAACACAACAGGCCACAATTTTATGTAAGGGAAGTACCTGAGATGTCACCTGATGTTGGTCAAAATATGACAGCTGCTGTAGTTTTGTGAACACAGTCTCTAGAGTTGGAAATGCTTCCTGTTTGTTCTTCCTGGCCTTTTGTCCTTCATCCCCAACTTAACAGATAAAAGATTATTTTGGTCACTTTATACTCAGTGGAGCCCTAGTAGCTATGCATTACTATCGCTTTGTAAGACATTTAACAGTAAAAACATCACTTACGACTACATAAAATCCTTCTTCCCTCAGTTTTCCACGTAACGATGTGAAAGCTACATTAAGGTCATCAGTGCAAAAAAGGTGACATTCAGTAACAACTGAAAAATGGTCACACTGTTTTGCTAGGAAGACAAGCAATGCGTATTGCTGCCTGGCCAGAGCACCAAACTCCAGGCTTTATCCCCACACCGGCGCAGACAGCCTGGCTGCCATAACGCTGAGCAGGGCAGGGCAGCAGGCTGCACCTCATGCTGGGGCTGCACAGCTCCCATCATCTCTGCTACGGGCTACCAGGCAGCAGTGTGAAAGCATTTACCACCCATTTCAGTAGTACTCTTCTTATTCAGAATCTTCAGGATGTCTTTGGTAATCTTCCTCAGCTGATGTCTTGCTTCATCACGCTCCTTGCCAACACCATAGAGGAGAATCATGCGCTGGTTACACTCATGACTTGAAGACTCATCCTGAAAAGAGCAGGAGGAGTGAAGTCTTTCATCACTGTTTTGTCATCACTTGCAGAAGCCCAGCAGCCCAAACTGCAACAAGCAATAATGAACATTTATTGCAAAAAGCATCCCCTGTGATTATCACTGCAGAGGAAACAGCACCAGGCGAAATCACTGAACGGCCAGGTTCAGAACACAGAGGAACAGATGTCATCTGGTACCACACATCCCGCAGGGACCTACGAACACAGGCCCAGGAGATGCACACCATGCCCACCCCCAGCCCCACGACAGGCAGCACTGAGGTCCACCAGCTGCTCCTCACTTCTCTCTACGCACAACCCCACTAAAAAGAAGATGCCGTCCAACTCTTAAGACTGTATTTTGTAAATCCAAAAGAAACTGACGTGTGTATAGTTCACTGGAACTCTAACTAGTTACATTTAGTCTTCTACTACCATGTATCACACAAAGTTGATGCCAAATTCATAACTTTAAAACTGGAAGAACTGCTCAGCAAATTATAAAAGGTGTAAATATTTTTGAATTATAACATAAAATCACCTTCTCCAATCACTGCTTCTCTTTGCACCATGAGACCATTCAGTTTTCAAACAAGGAGGGCTGCGTACGAAAGTACTAACAAATAAGTTCTGCACAAATCACAAGGCACAGAGATGGGAGCACAACTCCACGCTCAGGAAAGTTGTGCCGGCTTACAGAATACACGATACGATCTCCTTTAAAAACAGCAGCTCTATCTGTAGGTCAAAAGTAGGAAGTAAGCCTCTAATTATATAGAAAGTTCTATTTCTCTCTCTGTTCTGGAGGAAACAAAAGCAGAAGCGCTGATGGCGTCACCCGGGATCAGCAGCTGTCCTCCCGGCTGAGGAGCCAGACCCTGCCCGCCAGCAGCCCGGCACTGCAGCACCTGAGGCCCCCCAGCTCCAGGCGTCTCAGAGCGCTGCTGCTGCACCAGGAGCCGCAGCAACCCAGCACGGCAGCACACTACGGTAATCCCCTCTGATTTCTGCTTGCTTTCTGATCTTGCAGCCTGGGGAATCCTTGCTTTGTTAGGACTGGACGCGGCAGCCCGATCTGCCACGCAGTTCAGGGCAAAAGCAGATTCTAATATTCCTCTCCAACCCTTTTCGATAGAAAAGGAACCTGGAGCTCAGTGAAGGCCGCGTCAGGATGCTCGGGTGCTGGCTGACCTTGCTTCCCAAGACAGAGCTCACCCCAGCCACCCGCGCTCACTGCAACGGCATCGCCGTGCACCCGAAAAGCGGCCCCTGCGCGGACGCACGGCGCCCCCCCCGCCTCCCAGCAGGCACAGCGCGGCCGGCCAGCTCCACGTGCTGGTGGCCGCAGCGCCTGCAGTGCCGCCCGGCTCCACACCGCGGGTCGGTGCTTCCTGCAGTACCACGTTGGGTAGAACAGCCGATTTAGAAAAGCGACAGGAAAAACCAGCTGTGATGCTGTAAATTAATTCCTATACAAGCAAAGCTACGAAAGCCTTCACAGACCATGCTGGCAAACGTGCACCTGCCGCAGCAACACCCCGATGTCAGTGCTGACATCTCAGCTGCAGGGCACCGCCAGCCCCCTCTCCCAGGCAGCCTGCAATGCCCGGCTGCCACAGCTGTCTCCTGGCCCCAAACCCACACCGGGAACCTGCAGGGCAAGTGGGCGTCCCTGCGTCTGGGGGATGTGTGGGGGGAATGGTAGGGAGGGCCTTGAAGGTATCCGACAGTGGGGCTGGGGCAAGAGAAGCAAGAAGGGCATTACATTGACATCAGCCTCTCCCTACCAAATGCGCACCCAGAAGGAGTTCCGCTGCTCCCTCTTTTCTACATTAAGGACGAGGAAAAAGATGCTTGCCTTTCTCCTTGGATCAGAGCACACCTTCAGGTAGCCGCTGCCACAGGCCCCACACGGCACAGCAGGCGCACCCAGCTGGGGCTGGCAGCCCCGCAGCCCATCACAGCAGCAGGCCTCTCTGCCCATCCTACCCCACGCCTCCTCACAGCCCCTGCCAGGCAGGACCCAACAGACCAGGGCAGCAGTTCCCCTCGGCACGGCCATGCCCAGCACTGCCTGCTCCAACCTCAGAGGAAAGCAGCGCAGGTGGCAAAGTCCAACAGAAATACTCCCTGTATAAAAATGAGAAACAGACTAAGAAGACCGAAATCAGAAAAGGCATCATCTCCAGCTTCACTACTCCTTACTTTTCTTCTTCTTTTGTTTTTGTTTTTCAGAAGGAGGGTGGAGAAGACGAAATGCAAGCAAAAGCCACAAGCAACTTCAGCTACTCTATCAATGGTAGCAACTGCACCAGCGACAACAGAATCAGACAGGTCATCTTCCCCTTGCTTTATACTCTTCTCTTCCTGGTGGGCCTCACTATGAATGGCCTGGCAACGTGGATCTTCTTCAAAATATCAAGTAAATCCAATTTCATCATCTTCCTCAAGAATACTGTCATTTCTGACATCCTCATGATTCTGACTTTTCCATTTAAAATCCTCAGCGACGCACAGTTGGTACCGTGGGTGCTGAGAGGATTCGTGTGCCAGGTCAGCCAGGTCGTGTTTTACTTCACCATGTACATCAGCATCTTGTTCCTCGGGCTGATAACCATCGACCGCTATCAGAAAGCCACCTCGCCATTCAGAACATCAACCACAAGGAGCCTTCGAGGCGCCAAGATCCTCTCCATGGCTATTTGGATATCGATGTTTACTCTTTCATTACCCAACATGATTCTAACAAACAAGAAAAAAACACCTAAGAACGTAAAAAAGTGTGCCCTCTTGAAATCTGAGTTTGGCTTAGTCTGGCATGAAATCGTAAACTACATCTGCCAACTTATCTTCTGGGTTAATTTAGCAGTCATAGTTGTATGCTACATACTTATGAGCAAAGAACTGTATAAGTCCTATCAGAGGACAAGATCCACAGGAGGACCATCCAGAAAATCTGTAAATCTGAAGGTTTTCATCATAATCGCAGTGTTCTTTATTTGTTTTGCGCCATTCCACTTCACCAGAATTCCCTACACTTTGAGCCAAACAAGAAATGTTTTTGACTGCTCTGCAGTGAACACGCTGTTTTACTTAAAGGAGAGCACGTTGTGGCTGACATCGCTGAACGCTTGCCTAGATCCATTCATTTACTTCTTCCTTTGCAAGTCGTTTCGAAAGTCCTTGCTAGGCATGCTGTGCAAGGCCACCGCATCGCCAGAACTCGGAGCGCAGACAGCAGGGCAGAACGGAAGAGACGACACTGAGGATACCCCACTTTAGCACAAAGGACCAGCCACAGCCCTGCCTGGCCGTGTACGTTTCCCTGGGGTTGGGGAGCAGAAGGATCCTGCTAAGGCTACCCACAATTTCACCTGCACCTGCACAAACTGCCCTACAGGTGAAACACAGATCCATGGAACCAACATCGCCAGTTGCAGGAAGGACAAAAATTAGAACAACTGAATACAACAAGGGCACCATCTGCTCACAGGCTCCACGTCTGACGGAGTTGCTGGAAAAAAGTTTGAATTTATAGTTGGAGCTGTAAGAAAAAAACAAACCAGAGTCACAGAATGCTACTGAACAGAAGATGAGCTGCAGAGATTTTGCAGCTTAATTTGGGCCAGGGGAAAGCCCATGACAACAAAGGAATGGATGTAAATAAACCCCATAACAAATGCAGCTTTTCAGTATGGGAAGTTGCCACCTAGTATGCAATCACCAGACAAACAGAAATGCAGCACATCTGTAGGTAAGCTATTTGCCTGTGCAGATGTTTGGTAACAGCATCATGTTTGGCTTATCTCAGTATATGCTTGCAATTCTTAACACACTGACCAAAAATCAGTAGTTGTACATCAGAGAAAATTACTGCATAGTCAGGCTTATCTTCATGCGACTTCAATCTTCAAATATTTCACCTTCATAGATAAAAAATAACTTTTATAGAGGAAGATGCATTACATTTAAAAATGCACAAAGGCTTGATTTGCAGAATATTTAGATCTCAGGGAAAGAAAGACTCATGGTAAAATCTTTACTAATCATTAAGGACTGCTTTCTTGCACTAAACAATAATTTTAACCACTTCTCTTCATTTGGAAAAGCGAGAACAAGCAGGCTGGAATTTTCAGGAACAATCATCATACAAACCCTAAGCTGATGTGATGGATTAGGGCTCATTTATCATCACTGCAAAACAGCTCCCATTCAGAAACACGTGCCACCACCACGTAAGTGTGCAGAACAGCCACCCAATGTCCTGTCCACCCTTCTCTGACAGTTTCTGCCCCTTGGCAGAGCACAGGGAGTCTTCAGGACTGGCATCCAACTTCCTAAAACATTAAAACACAGTTCACACAAGTCAGCGCTCAGCCTTGGAGCCGATGCATCTCCCATAACCTGTCAGCACAAATCAAGGGCTTCACAAAGCCTCCTGCACACACATTACACCGTTGTACATTGCAGCATCAAAAACAGGGTGTTGTTATTTCCCTGGAACCAGCGTGCAGTCACTTCACTGCATGCTTTCAGCACCCGCTTGGGGGCCAGGAGGGACGTGCAAGATTCCCAACACATTGCCCGCATTTCTTGCACCACACGTGGAGGGAAAGTGGCAGTTATCTGGCAGATGCCTCTCCTGATCAGCTGGAGTGTTCAAACCGTAGGTCCTGCAGCTCTCTGTGTACCACACGGAGGTCACTGATGCTGCACACAGTACCTGCCTCTGCAGCTGGGAGCAGTGACAAGATATAGGAGAAAACATGATGACGCTGCCTTGGAAATCAGCACTACGCAATGAACCACCTCAGCTTTATGCAGCCCTGGTGCACGACCAGAAGTCAGGGCAGGCAGCTATGGACACATGAGGATGATGACAGTGAGAAAGGCCACCTTCACCTCTGCCTCTCTGGGGGCTCTGCCCTCTCTGCCCAACATGAACGTTGACATCTGCACACGCACCTACAGCACAGATGCGGTCATTTTTCCTTT